ATTTTCAAATAAAACAGGAATAATACAAAACAGCTATTCCAGTGAGAGCTACCTACTTCGTACAAATAACTCTATCACCATTTATTTCCCCGGTGGTTTGTGTAAACTGGACTTTGAAACAATCATTTGCAAGTAACACAGGAACCTTGTTAACCTCAACAAACTTGTCCTGTTTAATCTTTGCAAGTATAGCCTTAACTTGGTGGTGCTACGACGTCATCAAGGTAACATAACTGTTTTAGTCAGTTAATTCTGTTTATCCAGTTTAATGTACAAGGTTCGTAAAGTATAAATACATTTGCGTCAGAAACTTTGTTTTAAATTTCAAGTCCATTTATGTGTAATTATAAGATTACATTGTAATAGCTGGTATCATTATAATTTATTTTGTTGTAATAGTAATAAAGTAAATAACAAGTTAATAGTAAAGATTGTCTTATACAGGGCTGACATGCATTGTGATAAGGTAAGTTATAAACTAAAATGGATATAGCATACACTGCTGATATAGTAAGTGATAAAAACTTAACTTCAATGATATAATGATTTAATAATAAAAAAAAAACCTAAAATATTAACGAATGGATTCGCGACTGTAAATTATGATGGAGTAGTCAGTTCACTACAATTAATAGTATTCACTAAATAATTATGTATATATACGAGTATATATACAAGTAAAAATGGAATAGTAACTTATCTGCGCTATAGGTATACGTTGACAGAGCACCAGTAAGATTTTTTTTATACGACCTAGAATTGCAAACAAGCTGACAGCCCACCTGATGGAAAGTGGGAACCGTCGCCTATAGACATGAGTAGTACCATGGACATAACAGTACACACATAAAATGTTTTACCCATGATATCCCCCATGCGTTGCCATTCCTTAGGACTCAGGTGTTATTCCTCTGTACCCTGTAAATTCACGCCATATCCCACCCTTCAAACCGAAACACAGCCATGCAAACACAACTGCTTCACGGTAGAAACACGAATGGGATAGAGGTACCCAAGCAATCGACTTTTGTACAAAGTCTCCCTCTGGTAAATTATGTAGTAATTAATGTAGGTCAATTGGTTTATAATGACGAATCCCCATTGCTAATAATCCCAATCACACATAATATGTTAAACCCCAGTAAATCACGAAGGTTTAAATTATTATCGTAGTCATTGCACTGCAGTAATACGTATACCACTTACACTATCAAGGTTATTGGTTGTTATAGATATGTTTAAATTTCGCAGAAGTACTATGTTTAAGATGTATAATTTACGTATACATAACATATATACATATATGTAAATTAATGCGTGCGGGGCATTAATTAGCTAGTCTATGATTAGCTAGAGATTGCTGTTGATGATAAAACGAACTTATGGATTATTTCTATCATAGTAGATATTGTTCAGACAATGAGTAACAAACTTGGGCGAGATGGGATTATTAATAATGGGGATTAGTAGCCCCATTACTAGCAATAGACCCTGTCAGGTCGACCTCCTCGCGGTTCTCTTTGGAAATCATCGTGTTTTATTCTGAAATCATCACGATATACCCGTGATGAATTCAGATATTAGATAATAACTGACCTGCTATTCCATTCAATTAGGGATATATCGTTAGCGCAGATGATATTACCATTCCATTATTGTCTATTTAAAAAAAACCATCAAAACTTTAAATGTAAGTAGGTACTTATAGAAAATAAGGTGCCGGCAATTTTCTGTGATTGTTACATGGGACAAAATTTTCTTTTACTATTTTATAAAATATTATTTAATAACATGACGTATTTTGTACTCATATAAAGCATACCTACTATTAATATTGCCAAAAAATGACATATTTTTGTTAATTATTTATATATTTAGAATTACCAATACTTTTTACATTTATACATTTATGTATTTTTACAATACAATATTTAGTTTCTAAATGTACAGTCACTTTGTTCTTTATTAACAAATCATGGCGTTTTCACGCCATGATTTTTTAATTAATAAAAAATTACATTTCATGACATCTAATGTCAGACATTTTATGTCAGTTTATTTTTTGAGAACCGTGAATTTTATCATTAAAACGAATTCCTGTCACTCTTAAACAGAGCTCATGGATAATAAAACTCTCTTTTGTTATTTTTTTTTATATATGTTTGTAAGAATAATAATCATATTTGTTGTAGTAAAATTTTGTCTTTTTTATGTTTTCATAGTTTTATATAGCCATTATTATTATGTTATTGGATAAACGAAAAATGTATAGATGACAGACAAAAAGACAGATGTCGTTTTAATAATCGTTATAATCAATGTGAAAGTATATTGTTACATTTTAACGCTTTAACAATTCAATTTGTGTCACATTAGTCATATTTATGTACTCGTATATGTATATATAGTTTATGGTGAAAGACGTAAGTTACTTTTACCCCAGCAAAGAGAACAAAAACAGAGGCACAGTTGTTGAGGCAATGTTTTTTTATCTAAAACTGTTTGATGTCTTAGTGACTCAAGTAATCGTTATGTTAATTAAGTATATCAGTACATAATATAACATATAAGAGGCGACTAAGGGAATTTAATGATCGGAAGATGGACAGCAATGTTCGTCTTAAATCATCATCAAAGCCTAACTGCGGTTGTCAACCTGCCTGCCAAGCGCGGCAGCTACTGGCAAACCCCCAAAGGGAACCTATTTTTAACAGTGGACAGTAAATCTATACTTGCTCAGCACCTAAGTAATAATATGAATTTTAATAGCTTTATGACGACTACACTAAAATTTCTATGATTGTCTCGTGTCAGATTTCAGATCCTTGAAACTCCCAGCAAACATGTCGAGGTAATCTTTCTTTATTCACGTACCTCGTCTACGCAGATTATTATCCTGATCAATCAGTCACGTGGATACAGTTGGAAATACTATAAAAGACGACATATAAACAAATTCTTAAAGAAATACTGAAATAATATTCGATAATATCAACAACAAATATTTTGAAGCAAGGAAACTACACGAAGTAAAATATATTACTTGGAATCGTGTAATGCGAGTGCTGGAAAAGAGAACAGTAGGAACAAAATCCACCGTTTTCTTCCATACTAACTCGTTTATTTTATCGGACATTGAAATCTAAGATATTATCAGCTGTTCTCTTATATTACTTTACACATTATGTAAAAATGCCATCTGTTCACTCGTTTCCTTTTAAAATCGAGCTTTTTATACGACTTTAAAAGAAAAGAGGATGCAATTTCTGAGATGCATGTATACGAGTATATGTATGTGTATCTCAATAGAACAATCTACATTTGTTCGCGCTAAAGTCTAAAACCACTCAATCGATTTTAATGAAATTCTGTAAATATATATTGTTAGATCTTGCAAGTTAGGATAATTTTTATTGTCGTAAAAAAATAGGCCCAGTAGGTGATTGTAGGAGGCAAAACAACACATATTGGGTCGGCTAGTAGTATAATATACTTATTTTCATTCATATATTTATTTTTATATCATTCTTAAGACTGTATATTGTGCAACAATTTGAGTATTATTTCATTTCTTTATATATTTGCTCTGCAAGAGTTCTCTTCTAAGAAACCCAAAGTGGAAAGGATGATCAGTGTGAGTGGGTAGAGCGGTGTAGAGTACTGTAATGATTTGTAATGATTTACAAACAAAAAAAATCTAGTCAAATTTAAGTTCATACATAGCCAATTACATTAGTTAATTAGTGTATATTTGTAGACAAAAATATTAAATTATAAATAACAAATTGAGTAATCTTTTACTATTTTTATCCGGCTTTGGAATAGGAAGGATAGTTTACTAGTATTTTTTTCTACATAATATTCTATTATAAATCATAGAAAATTACTCCTGCAAGTTTATTGTACAAGATTATTTTTCTGACCTAATAGACAAATTACCTAAACCTAGATATGTTCCGTCATTGTAAAATAATTAAGGATAGTAAATGATAGTAATACCAATCGTGTGTGATACTATATAAGATGATTGTTATGCATACATGACTGGGAGAATTTAATTTTATTCTGTACACAGATGCAATTAATGAGTTTTAGTAATTATAATACAGGATTAAAACGCATACAAAGTTATTTATGCAAATTTGTTTTTATATTCATATTTTTTTAGATACAAAAATGTCAGCTTGTTTGCCATTCTAAGTTCTATAAAAAAAAAAAAAAAAAAAACAACCTAATTATATTTTAGAGGATCAAAACCTATGGTAAACACTGAAATTGTCATTTCACTGTTACATTAAAAGTCATAAAATTAATGGTAATAAACCCAATTAATGCCTCTCAGTGAAATTTTGGAAAATGTTCATCACGTATTCGCTGAACGGATTTTAATGAAATTTTGTATACAAATAGAACATAATATTCTAAATTAACACGTAGGGTCTAAAGTTATCCAATAGCAGTTATTTATATACGTAGACGAAACCGTAGTTTAAAATTAGGTAAGTAATAGTTTCTGCATTTACGACATTTAAGTATTTTTAACTTGAATTCAATTTTAGAAATGTTTAAACATAACTCTTTTCATAAACGTTATTAAAATAAAATATTGCTAATAAATAATTAATGGGTTGAAAATTTACTAGTACCTTATGTTACATAATTATAACATAAGTATTTCAATTTTATTCAGATAATATTAAAAATAAAAAAAACTGTAAACTGTATGTGCAATAATAAATCACTTGATATCTTTAAAAACTTTATAATTATATTCAATTTTATTAAAATTTATATCTATAGACAAATTTTAACGAATGTTTTCATTTAATAAACATGTATGCCTCTTGGCGCCCAACTTGAGACTCAATTTCCGCGTCGATTTCCATATAAATTAGGCATTCTAAACTCAAAGAACATTTTTTCGACAAATTATGATATTCGTCACTTAATATATTACATACGTAAAAATATAAACTGCTATTAAATTATATTTGAATTACCTTTTATAAGCAAACTGATAATCGCCAATAACACATACATCCTCATTAAGTTTTTATATAAACAGCTGCATCACATATCACATAAGATATTCCTTGGTGCGATTGTCATACACTTAGTCACACACGTATTTTGCAGCGGCAAATGATAAAGTTCCAAGTAGTAATAAACTGTGGTATACGTAATATTTGTATGTTGTTTTTAACAAGCAGACGTCCGCCCCAACCGGTGGCGTGCACACAACTGAGCTTAGGCTTAAGTTCGTTCCGTTTAGTTCGAGCCAACTCGCCCCGCACCCATTCGGGGTCATAGAGACCTCTTTATATTTCATGACCTATGGACAAGTCGATAATCGCTTTTAATAGTAACTCCATTTATGAAAATTGATTGAAGAAGACAAACTATAGAATATTAATATGAACTTGATACAATAATTTTATTTATGTTATTTTCCCTAGCTACGAAGTTTGCCCACATTTTTATTTCGCTCGCGTATATCAATATAAACAATTGGTTGAAGAAGACAAATTATAAAATATTAATATAACTTGATACAATAATTTTATTTCAGTTATTCTATCTTTGAAATCTGTCAACATTTTCATTTTGATTGCGTGTATCAGGATAAAAGATGTCGTTTCATATTATTACAGGATTTGGTCAATTTGTAAATTAATATAATTTTTATTCAAATTTGTACAGATTTTTAGCCTATTATTACTCAAAAAAATGATTATTGAATAATAAGTATCCAGATGTTTTTGTCACGTTTACTGAAGTATAACTTATTACTTAATTTATTATCTATACTAATATATAAAGATGAAAGATTTGATTGTTTATTAGTAGTTAATAAAATCAAAAACTATTCAATAGATATAAAAAATTCTTTCACCTATAGAAAAGTACATTATTAACGACTAATTTAGATCATATATTATTTTCGAAAATTCTATCTATCCGTGTGCAGTAGGGCCAGATCGTAAGTCCAAAATAATTTAAAGGATCTTGAAAACCTGAACGAAAAAACTTCCTAGCTTAAATTGTCAGATGCTGGTTCACGATGAGCACTAGGTAAAAGTTTCTAAACTAAACATAGTCCCGAGAATAGCCAACCTTCGGTAGGAGATGGTATGAGCGGAAGTAATCTTTACTAACTTTCGTAGGTACTTATTTTAAGTACGAATAAACGAGCATACTACTTTCATACTAGAGTTTTACTTATTATATTCACTATAGCTCAAAAGCGCTATTACCTTACACGCAAATGCTATTAGTGAATATGAACATTTAAAGCTATAAATCAAGTGTAAACCATCATTTAAATATTATTCAATAAAAAAATAACACGTGAATCATTTGATTCCGAATTTCCGACCGTCAAATTATTAATATTCACGTGAAGTTAATATAGCTTTATGAAGAATTTAATTTCCTGGTTTTATGGCGCGGCCTGATCATTTAACCGTAAATTGCTTTTTAAGGGTCAAATATTGGTCTTGAAATTGCTTAAAACCCATAGAGTAACATGCATAAATTTAAATTAAAAGAATACTTACGGGCTAAGAGGAATATTCTGGACTCGTGGTTTAAGAGTAATTTTATGAATATTTATTACTCAAACCCATTTTCGTTTCAGTACATTAAAATAAGAGATTAGGAAAGAGAAACCGGGACTGTCTGACTGGGAGTAAACGTTGAGAGAAGATACTTCCCACTAAAATTTATTCTATATTATAACATTGTGTCGTGTTGGTGCAAAGGATTATCTATTTGATTTTGTAGTTAGTACATTAATTTCCGGTCTACATATATTTGAGTGAATAATTAGTTATTTTTAAACAATAATATTTTATTAGATTAATATTATTAGAGCGAAACGTTTTTCAAAATGTGCCAGTACTAATTAATTATTATTGAAATGTGACATGATACATTAATATATAACTATAATGAAACTTCAAATCGATTGTTCTCATTTACAAGGATACGTATAGTAAACCAAATAGAACAGGCATACTAGTGCAAGTGGGATATCATATGAAAGGAATTTCTTGACATATTCGAAAACCGATTTTTATTCTGAAATTTTTGACTTATAACAAAAGGCGGGAAAATAATCTTATTCTCCAACTTCTTATTCAAAAAATGTGAAGCAAATAATTTAAGATGAATACAATTAATAATAGTTTTATCTTTTACTTTTTTTAGTTATATAGGGGTTGAATTTAAAAAAAATAATTTATTGTTCACCTGCGCCATGTAAAGATTCTTTTTATAAAATTACAAGATTAACGGAATCAACGCAATCGTCTGTGTGTTTATATTTGAGTCAGTCAGTAATTCAGTATCCTGTTTTATTATACATAAATAGATACTCTTTATTGTTTCCTCCAAAAGATTACAGTAGCAAACTTATTATAAATAGACAAATAATTTCAAGAAATATTTACCCCGAGAAAACAATGGCGGCCTTATCTCTAAAAGCTATATATAGATAGATTACGGGAAAAATAGAATGATGTTTTTAAATAGAATAGTTTTTTAGAAATTGTCAAATAAACTTTAAAAAAAAGTTGCCACTGACTAAGAAAATAAAATGTTAGACATTTCGAAATTATATTTTCAAAAGAAGCACTATAGTGCATTATAAACGTAGAAATAATGAGAGTGAATGATAAAGTGTGTAGTAAGTACTTGTACCTACAACGGAGTATGCTTTGCGCGCGTTTCGTTACACGGAAGCGCGTGACATGCTGTCTCAATTGTCGCACCGTAGCTTTTTGTGTCTAAGCCCCTTTTTTGTAGCCGCGTCTACTACACTACGAGTAAACAGGGGAATGTAACATCCTTGCATGCATTTGTTATATCAAGTTTTAACGTAATACTTACTACATTTTGTACCATTATTCTGGAAATTAAGGTTTTTGTTGAAATTAAAGTATGTACTTTTGTGCTACGTAAGCATTATCATTTTGCGTATTATTATCCATTGTTAAGTATTAGGAGCTGTTGAGAAACATTAAGTAATTGTGGCTATTGATCATTGGATTTATTATATTATAGATTAGAAGGGTAAGCAAGTTGAAGTGGCAATGGACTGGTCACATAGTTTGAAGAACTGAAAACCGATGAGGAAGGAAGGTTCTTGAGTGGCGACCTGGTACGGGCAAACGCAGTATGGATTGCCCTCCACTAGATGGAGTGATGACCACAAATGCATTGCAGAGAGTCAGTTGATGCAGGTTACTCAGGACCGTTCCTTATGACAGTCTATGGAGGAAGCCTATGTTCAGTTGTGGACAGACAATGGTTGAGATGATGATGATGATATACTCTTTTTTTATACATCTTAGAATGGCAAACAAGTCGACGGCCTACCTGATGGAAAGTGGTAACTGTCGCCTATAGACATGAGCAGTACCATAGACATTACTGAGTATACTGTTTTGCCAATGATACCCCTCATGCGTTGCCATTCCTGAGGACTCAGATGTTATTCCTCTGTACCCTGTAAATTTACGCCATATCCCATCCTTCAAACCGAAACACAGCCATGCAAACACAATTGCTTTACTGTTGAAACACGAATGGGACAGAGGTACCCAAGCAAACGACTTTTGTACAAAGTCACACTCTATTGCTATTATTTACCCGATATTTATGTTCTTGTCATGCAAACGAAGTTGCGGGTAAAAACTAGTTGTTATAATGTGTCATCAAGAAATAGAAAGTGAAAGATGTATTTGTCAATGATCGTATCGTATCCTTGTTGTCTTTCTTGAGCTTGAAGGGAAAAGCGATTTTATTAACATTTATTTAAATATATTTATAACGCTGACAAAGGGGTACCGGAATTGTTAGCAATAAAAACTAGACTAACAGTCTCATTACTAGCAAAATACCTTATCAAATATACGTTTTCGTAGTCTCTAGAAATCTAGTAGATTCTGAATGAATATTTCACGATAAGTCAATCGATCCGACTTCATCTTCACCTAAGATTCTTCATTACACAATTTTTACATTATTATTAGCACAGCGTTAATGACATCAATAATAATAAGCGAACAAACCTGATATCGTGGTGATGGATCGGGCACTCTCGAGGGTGTTTTTGGTGGATGTCACCATACCGCATGACGTGAACCTCGTGAAAGCCGAAACCGAGAAAAAGAGAAAATAACTCGATCTGGCTCACGAGATGACCGAAATGTGGGGGGTGACGTCCGCCGATCATTCCAATCGTTTTGTCGGTGAACGGTCTTATCCCAACCAGTCTGGAACAACATCTCAGACGGTTGGGATTCCGAGGCGGCTAACTCCCGGGAAAGATGTAGAAAGCGGTGCTCTTAGATTATGCCCGCATTGTACGCCGGTTTCTCTCCCTGGGGCCCTGAACCTCGGCCGACTGTGCTTCTGCCGGGGGTTAGTTTGCCATCTCCTCTCCTTAAGAGGGGAGATGTGAATTTTCTAGAAATTTAAATAATAATAATTAATTCATCCTGGATTCGCATGGTCTTTTTGTAAATAAAATACATCCCACGTTACTCGCTGAATTTGTAACTATTGATTGGTGAAAGGATTTTAAAATCCATTACAAAAAAACTTACCTTTTTTTAATGTTCGTTTAGATATTTTAGATAAATAGTAATATTGTGAGTGTATGTATATGTGTGTGCGTGTGCATCAGTGTAAACTTAGTTTATAAATGATGTTTCTATTCCATTTTCATCCATTAAAAAATAACGATACCTATATAATAAGTACTTACGTATAGAAAAAGCGATATTACAAAAAAATAGGGCGCCGCTGCCATCTCCGTCACACATGTTCCTCTTATTAAGGTAAAATATCATTAGCCGTCATATCCTTTATAACGGACGTGTATACGACAATTTTTTTCCAACACGTCGCAGTATCGTAACACTTTATCGTTATTGTACGTTGCCATATTCGAGAATGTAGGAGCATCATAAAATCATAAACAGCTTCAGTTTTCGCGTTATCCCTTACAAATTTCTTTGGGTTACCCCCAATAAGCTATTATGAATTTGGTGTTGAGTACGTGATCGTTTTCGATGATGATTCCACGTTGCCTGATATCTTATTCGGCTTTGAACGTTTAGTAAGTACTCGTAGATAGATAGTACGATATTTTGTAGTTTTATATTATGGGTTTTAGTGGCCTGCGGCTTCATTATATACATATTGATATTTAGGGCAATTTTTGTGTATTGAGAACAATAGTTAATAG